AGTGAGCGCTGTGTGTTTGATGCATGGGTGTGTGCGTGTGTGAGTGATCGTGTCAAGTTTTCGTGCTCGAATTAACTTTTCGAAATTGGGAAAATAAGGCAACAGGCTAGATCAACCAAAACAACACTTTATTGCTACATTAGCAATAGAAGTTCACAAAGGGTATACGCTTATGCCTTTGGTCATCGAGGTCCTTGGCTCGCAGGGGGGTATCCAGGTGTTGTCCTCAGTCTCGTCACCGGTGCTAGAGAGAGCGTCCCGCCCGTTTTCTCCACCATCCCAGTTTCCCTCTCCCCAATCAGAGCTAGTTCCGCCGCCTGCGTAACCCGTTTTGCAAGCCAGGAAAGGGGAATAAGGTGCGCCGGCCGCGAGGTGACTGGTTCCTTTGAAAGAGGCTTCATTGTCTCAATTCTCGAAAGGACAGACATGTCCTCGAAACTATAAAAGAGAAAGGAACTATGGGTGCATGTGCTTCCCTACAAAGTCAGTGGACCAGTCCCGAGGATTGGGCTGCAGAGGCACTGTGAAGTGCAAAGCCAAGACAGGGAATATAAACACGAGCTACGAGAACACAATCTTGATGCAGGATGCCATCCAGTTACTTGAGGCTCGATTCCGGGTGACAACCTTTACAGAACCCATCGATGTCAGTGCTAATCCAATTGATCCATTCTCGCCAAGATTAACAATAGCCGGAAGAGGATGAACTTGTAAACTACTCAAGAGCCACTGTGGGTGAAGGTCGGATTCCCTGCGGGGAGGAAGGAAAAAGTTAGATGAGAGTATTGCAGAAATCGTCGGGAAAGAAAAAAAAAAACGCAGTAAATCAGGCACGTGCACATTAAAAATGTTCCCTTTGACCTGAAGGAATGCAGACTGACCCTTGCCTTCCCATGGAAAGGTTGGGCGATTAGAACCCTCGAGCATATGTTCAGGGAACAGGATTATTGACTGGACCAGACTGCTTCTTGTTGGACTGGACGGTGCAGCTAACGAGAGGGGGGAAAGAGTGGACTGAGGGGGGGTACAGTTACAACCGTCATTTCGAACAACAAAAGACAATAGGTCTTCAGCTCCCTAACTCAGTTGTTAATAAAGTACTCATATCATTGAAATTCTCAGCGTCATTGTGTTCTTAAAATGAAACATTTTTATAATGCACGCCAAGCTTTGCTTGTCTATTGAGGATGATTTTATTCGTCTATTATGCGTCTAATTTTTATATGGTAGACTGGGGAAAAATAGTATTTGTAGGTATTGCCCGACGCACTTGATATCATTTATTCCGACTTTCATCCCATCATTCTGTTTACTTGTAGCCGTGTGTACTGCTTCTATTTTTCGCATTTAAAAGCATCTTTTATTGACAGGCCCTTATGTGGCAGAAACTGTGGCGAGTAACTTGCTTCATTGTAATGCAGAAGATGCAAGCTAACACTACATTACTTTGCGTCATACATGGGTGTGCCTCTACTACTGTATGAACTGTTCGGATGGTTATGTGAGCGAGCTTGTAAACTCTCAAGACATGGCTACATACTTTGTCCTGGCCGATGCAGCAAGCAGGAAGCATTTCTGGGCCTGTCAGAGATTTAAAGGCAGGATAGATAGTCCAGTGGACTTGAAACAACAAAAGGCCATGCACTTGTAGAGAACAGTCTCAGCTTATTCGGCTTTTGTTAATTGGAGGAGGCCACTTTGTTGATACAGTGTCCTTTCAAGGACCACTGATTTTCCATTTGAAATTTTTCATCACAGTAGTTCAGTGGCACACATTTGTATTGACTCTTCGCTGTCCCTATTGTGACAAAACAATTTCTAGTGCCATTTCTGGTTCGCTTGGCTTTTTGGTTAACACGTGAAAATGGCTAGTTTTCATATGTCTTGGCAAAATAGTTTTTGCTAGCATGAAAAGTACTCTAGCACGCATTGCAGCATACCAAATTTTCCACCATGAAATGCTCTTTCCAAAAAATATATGCTTTCAAGCGACATAAATATTTTGGGATGAATAAAAGTGTGAAGTTTTTATCTTTCAGTTGGTAAACAGTGCAATAAAAAAATGCTGTATATGCAAAAATATTCAAAGCAAAGAAAATTCAAAATGTACATTGAGAAGAGAAATAGGAACACTATAGAAATAATAAATTTAGTACAAAATGTTTCTATTCACGTAGACAAAGTCAGAACTGAGATACTGCTTCGCTGCTTGTGCCATGCGGTGAAGCATTGCTTGGTTTTTAGCGAGGCACAAGTGAACTTGCACACTTTTTCTCAGTAATGTTTTTTTTTATGATAACGGCCTGTAGGTGTTCCACTGTAGATGAATGCTCGTGATGTGAACAATTCCTCTATAATCGGACATGCAATGAGCTCCGCTATTTTGTCTAACGTCACCTCTTTCCGTAAGCCACTTCACTATGCATAAGTTGGCGTTCCAATATATGCATCCAAGCATAATTCTTCGCATTTTTGCACATCGCATTAAAGCAAAGAACAATATTTTGTGCAGTCCTAAAAGGTTTCACAATACTCCGTAGTCAGGATCAAGATGTGCTCCGGTTGCCTTCTTGTAGTGAGGAGAAGCTCTGTAGCCGGTGCCAGCACACCGCGCCCCAACAACGTGGGGACCTCGCACTGTAACTAGAGTAGCTATAAGATTGTGCAAAAAGGTCAGCAGCTACGCACTTGCAGTGGAGAAGACAATTTGAGGCCGTAGACAAAACAAATCCATGAATTGCTGCGCGGATCTCAGGCTGACGCAAAACATTGCCGCCACAAAATTCAAAGCTGAGGTGCTGTCATCCTCAGACTCTAAGCTCGTCATCGTTCACTTCAGGTGAGGTTGCAGGACAGTTCAAAGTGGCGGGTGTGTTTTTTGCAGCAAGATGTGCACCTATGCTCGCGTAATGACGACGCCATTGGAGCGACTAGTGACATTAGATGTGGCCCTGCGTCTGATATAACGATACAAGCGAAGCCGAAGCTACTTGAAACCGGCTGAGAAGGCGACCTCCACAGGTTACATATGCGGCGAACCTTCAGGAATGTTTTCTGTAGAATATATTTCCGCCACTCCTAGCAACAGCTGTGTATTGAATAGCATGCATAAGTTTCTGGCAATTAATGCTACTCAACACTGTCAGATTAGGAAGCTGACTCCATTGTTTGGTATTTGATTTGCAAAGGTTCTTTTGATAACAAAGCTTTGATGTTACTGTAGCATGGCCGCGAGGGACGCGCACTTCTGTCAAGTTCGCCAGCCAAGTGCATCTTCTTAACAACACACACACATTGGTTTGCGCAAACATCTGTCAAAATCACTATGTTGCCTAAGCGGGCGAATTCAAATTGATTCGGAAAGTTAAGTGACTGGGCTAACTGCTATAAATTGCTGAGTGCACAAGAAACAAGCTCAACATGCCAAAATCGACGATCTAAATGTGTCAATCACCGGTGATTGATTTGAACAGGCGTGGTAACGAAAGAGTTGAGTGCATCCACCCAAGATTCATGGGTGACCTGTTTATACTTGTCCTGTTTTCTAGAATTGGAATAATGAAAAGGTGGCATTTGTTGAGATGAGGCTTGTGGAAATTGCACGCATCACAAGATAGCGACACATACTTTGCAGTAGGGGTGCACGGATCTACAGGTTCTCTACACTATGCACAGACAGATTAGAAGGCACATGCAATGGACTGGTCAGGTGTGTGTGATGAGTGGCCATATTGGCACAGGTCAATGACATGTGTGGTGACCATGAGAACTTTGAGCTTGACTCATTTCTGCGTTTTGAGGCAGCTCTTCATGTTGTCTTTTGGCCAGACATTTTAGGTGCAGAATGCACCTTTCAGCCATTATCATGATGAGGAAGTGCTACAGTTCTGTGGGGATGGAGCTTTATTAACATACTTGTGCGAGTTCTCAAGCAGACAAGCGCCATCAGTCTTTTATGTTCTAAGACAATGTCTTGCAGCCATGTGAAACTAGCCTATCTCATTCGTGCAGTGTTGAGGAGAGGCCGCTGTAGATACTGCCTTCCCTCGCCTTTTCACTCTCAGTGATCCACTCCTGCCTTTTCCTTGCCCTTGTGGGAGACCTGTTTTTTACTTTTCAATAGACATCACACTCTTTTCTGCACTCGTATAAATCCGACAAGTATAATTGCTGATAAGGAGGGACCTTGTTTTTGTTAGGAAAAAAACCTTCTGTTTTAAATTTGTGAAAGCAGCCTCTTGTCAGCATTTCTATTCATTTCTCCTTTCTCAGCAGTAAAGGTGTCGGGGCCTTGTAGTGAGGCAGCAGCTCCACTCTTGTTTCCTACGCAAGTGCCTCTGCTCCTCTGTCTTTTCACCCAGAAGCAGACCTACCTTTACTTGTGCATGAACCTGCAACCTCTAGCGATGTGTTTCATCTATATTGTGATTAAACTCTGACAAGTGTTGTAGTTGGTGGAAATAGCAGCAGTGCAAAACAGGGACGCTGGTGTTAATGTCTTGTCACGTAAATGTTTTCGATGACGTATGTACACATACTTATCAAACTAAATATATCACAGGTCGAAGTGGAACAAGTCAAGTTTAGTGCACAGAAAATTAGGCAATGATATATAACACCTTTAAAAGTATTGCTTATTCATAAAAAATGCTCAATAGAAGTTAGACATTTGCAAGAAATTTGCAGATATCTGCCTGTTAAACTTGATTGTGGAGCTGTTACAGCTTGCAAGTTTGATGGGTACACAGGAATGATTATTGTCATCAACCGGCACGTTCCGTGCTTCTTCAAACAAATGTGTGTTGAATGACATAACTCCGATTTGCAACAAAAGGAGTACAAAGCAAGTGAAGATGTCATTGAATTATTTCTTTGATTAAAATTGGGATTGGGACATTCGTCCTAAATTTGCTCTGGCATTGCTTGTCTGACTTGTGCAGTCAGATTCTGAGTACTATTTCTGAGGAAGGAGACTTTTCACATCTCTTCATTTTTTCTAGGCGTGATGGCCCAGGAGCGACTGAAAACCATTGTAGGCCACCTCAAAGGTGGTGGCATTAATAATGTCATCAGCATGTTTGAAGACAAGAACATCGTAAGCCTGCTTTGCAATTTTTTCTTTGACATTCTTTATGCTGTGTAGTGAATGAAATGCACCTTGTTGTAAAAATTGCTGTGAGAGTTAGGCTGCCTTTTCAAGCCTGATCGCTTCTTGTGATAAGACAAATGCTGATGACTCATGAAACAAGTCCTGTCAAAAGTGCATTGCATTGTTTGTTCTTTTACAAAATTTTGAACGAATCTGGCTTAGGAAACCTACTTCTTGCTCCATAGAAGTTTTGGAGTTTGTTCCGAGGTGTTACAGAGGCACATCCGAATACCTTTTTTTTGCTAGAAGTCAATTATTTCTATACCATCAGCACTGCTGATAGCTTGTTATTCAAGAACTTGGTGCGAAATGTTTTCCCAAAGACTCGGGTACTTTAATTGGTGCATTCATGGAGCTTGATATTTGAAGTAGGCTGTCATCACTAGTAGCGACAAAAGGAAGGGGTGCCAGCATTGGTTTACTTTTTAAAAGAGTTATCAGGGTCCCTTCTGCCACCACATACTTAGTACTTCCTAGTTAGCCATCAGTGTGTCACTGATAGAAAAGTAGCGAATTTGTGAGAAAGGTAACACAAGCAATCCAGGTGGCAATTTTTGCTGTGGAGATTTCTCTAAGTCTTACATTCTGGTCTGTAGGCAAGACCACGAAATTTGCAAAAAGTCAAATGCTTTTCAGACTAGGTGATATTTTTCTTTTTGTTGACTGCAATTTATGTGAAGTTCAGTCAAATTCTCAGAATGTTGTGATCGCCTTGTGCTGTAAAACAACTGGTGGATGGACTCCTTTGTCCAATATGTACCCAACTGTCTTGCTTACCTTTTTTTCAGGTATTGCGTCCTTGATGTTTGTTTTACTAATCATTTACTGTCTTTATCATTGCATTTACAGTCCCTATTAGAGCACTGCACAGGTTGACCCAAAAGCTTGAGCCTGGTCAGGCTGTCAGAAGCGCTTTTTTTTCGCAGTTTAAGTCAGGCCTTTGCGTGGTACAAGACATTCTGCGCCAAGCTGCTGTGACAGCTGCAAAAAGCTGGCGCGTACAATATACCTCTGGACAGCAAATAGAGAAAAAAAAAAAAAAGACAGCAAATGTGTTTGTAATTCTGTCTTTTCCACCAGAGGTTGGGGATTTGATCACAGTTCTGGTAGTTGCATTTTGATGGAGCGGAATGTGGAGCCCTGTGTACTGTGCAATGTTCAGTGTACATAAAGGACTTTGGAAGTGAAAGTTGGGCTAGTTGGTGGTTCATGCTTGGGATGTAAAAACAGCGCAAGAACGAGGACTGAGGAATAGATGACAGGGTGCTGATAATCGCAACTAAAATTTATTAGAAGGCACATGCAGTCGACCTAATCCCGTGGAACACCATGGCGTCTGCATAGCAGAGCAAACAGGGTACAAAAATATAATCGTGCTGAAAAGTGACACGTGTAATCACCTGAGAAACATAAAGGAAAAGAAGAAACTTGCTTCTAGCAAAAGTAGGTGTCCATGAAAAACTTTAACATGTCAGCACTGCACCCAGCTATCGAACCTTTTTTTCACTAAAGAGGGCCACAGATTGACGCCTCCCTTTAAGTGACCTCCCAGGTGCATTTGTCCAGATGGCCTGAACAAACAAGTGGTTCTTTCTGCCATCAGCTGGCAGCCACACTCCTTACAATGAGCTGGCGAGTGTAAATTACCAGAAGCCGTTAATGAGGTTAACTGTTCCCTTAGTCTCGCATCGCCCAGTTTGTCCTATATAAACTCCCCCGCATGGCAGTGACACCTTATATACAACACGCAATTTATATGGAACATATCTGTTCTTCCTCTTCTCCGGACAGAATGAGCAAGTCTTGCGCGAACCCAAACTTCTTCTATGCAGGCGGGAGCAAATAGAGAGCATCTTATTGGGAGCTGACATCACAACATGTACCCCCTACCCAGTGGCCCTATTTTTCAAGCAATGCGAGAACTTATGCACATAGAGGACCACAACCAATCTCTTTTCATAGTGCAGCACGCTTTGTTCTTCTATGCGAAGCATTAATGCTTGACCCACTTAATTAGCCTTTGACAGCTCCTCAATATTTCTGTATTAGGGTAGCCTGCCGACTTCAGCCTTTCAACTTAGCTCGGGAAACTTTCCTTTATCGCATGTGCGCACGTTTTCTGGAGTGCAGCTCGCAGTGCAGCATAAATAATGCACGACTATAGTATCTTGGAATGGCTTGAGTTAAATGACAAGGTACCCTTTACGGATCGGGGCTTGACAGCCAACACAAATGGTCCTCATGAAAGCACAGTCTAATATCTAGAAACTGAAGCTCTCCTTTTTCAGGTAGCTCGTAGGTGAATTCTTAAGAATTTTTAATATATCAGTTGTTGTGCTATGCTTACTGCCAGATTCAATTACAACCAAAAGATCATCGACATACTGAAAAATGTGGCAGGACAGGTTGTGTAACTTTTTGGCAACAGATCTGTCGACTTGACCCAGTAAAATATTGCTTAAAATCGGTGGCACCCTAGATTCATTGCAAACCCCATATTTTTGGACATAGATGCCCCCTTTTCATTCCACAAACATCGACGGCAAGTAAAACATCAGCAGTTGTAAAAAGCGTTCCAAGAAACACCAGAACTGTTAATGAACTTAGCTTCATCATTGTACTCAACAATACAAAACTTAACTGTGCAGAAGTTCACCAAGCAGTAAGGATCAAAACATGTCCTTGATGTCAATGCTAAAAGTTGAACATGAACCTGGGTTACTAGTTTTGAGAAAATCTACTACACATTCCGAGTTCTTAACTATAAACGAATAGACTACATTGAGAACTTCTAGGTGCAACTGCAAGTAAGCCGATATCTTAGACATCCAAATCTCTTTTTCTGATATAATGACTCTGAACGGGGAAGTCAGTTAATGGGTTTTTACTGTGGGAAAACCTGCGAGTTTGATTCTTTTGCCTTTTTCACTCTACCATCGAAACTGGACAGATACCTATCTTTCAGCATCGCATTAGCCTGCTGTTTCACCTTCCCTGTTTTAGCATCCACTCTTTAGAAATTCTTCAAAACAGCTGTCTCAAATTTTTAATTAAAGATGCCCTCTTTCATGACCACAAACATTCCCTTTTTATCAGACGAGCAAACCTTAAGACTATTCTGCTCCAAAAATTCTATGACAAACCTGTCAGGCGAGGGCCTTTGCCTAGCCAACAATGTTTGAGTGAACACATCGATACAATCAGACAGGCATCATATTTGCTCACCATGAGGCACATACCAGGAAATGTTTCTTGAAAAAGCAACCTTTTCCGCCAGTGGAACATCAGGTCCAAATGCGAACTTGTGTTCCAGTTTTAAAACCTTGTTGACGTCCTTTGGGATAGAACAATCGCCGGTGCACTTCAACTTGAGTTGGTTTTCCAGTTTTAAAACCTCGTTGACGTCCTTTGGGATAGAACAATCACTGGTGCACTTAAACTTGAGTCAGTCCTTTCTATTTCTTGGTAGGAAGTGCCGCTTGCACCGTTGTCTGTATCGGAGCAAGCCTAGCAGTGTTGGGAAAAAAAACGAACCCACTAATGGGAGCATCCTTCTGGTGTGTCCTACCAAAAGGAAACCACACATTCCTTTTGGGCGGGCACAAGCTCTGTTGGATATACCAAGAAGAAACCTTAGCTCTGCAAATACGTACGGTTATGGTAGAAGCCATCATGAAGAAAGAACATTGTGATAGACAGCAGAGCCCGATGCAGAAGAAGCGAAAGTTGGGCTATTTGGGGGTAAAAACAGTGTAACAATAGAGGCAAGGACTGAGTCCTTTTCAAATTTTGCATTGTTTTCCCAAGTACATGAAGGAAACCAATGCGGGCAAAATTTCTGAAGCCTTCCACTGCAACCTGGGCTCATGGTTTTAGTTTGTAGAGCCCCAGAAATTCTGTTATCTTCGTTTACAAAAAAGAAGTTTCGGACATAAGCAAAAATAAATTAAACATGGAACCCTGTTTCACAACCTTTATTGCCATGTTTTATTGCTATATTTGTACTGTAATGACTTTTCATACAGCACATGAACCATAGTTCAATTATGTTTTAGGGTATTGCAAGCTAAAACAATGATTTAATTTCACTCTGAACGTATTGAGTACTAGATTGATTTCTACAGTTAGGACTTCTTTATTGTATATGTGTTCACATTGCCCCAATCAAAATGTGCCTGGCAATGAAAGCTGCATCTTAGAGCTGAACAGCATAAACCGCTCTGTGCGTAAAATATTGACTTCCTGTGTCCATGCTTTCATGCCCTGACTTTTAAAATGAATGGGTAAAACAGATTTTAAACACATGCATGCACAGAGTTTTCAGGCTGACTTCCCACAATTAACAAGACACCATACAATGATAATCATCACAAACGATTACCTCCTGTGTGCTTGAGTTTGACCTGTGTACATGGGGTCTTTGGCTAAGATTAAGCACATATAATGACAAGTGACATTGACAAGATGTTCCAAGACGCTCATGGCACTAGTGAATGCTTAGGATGTGCTGGGCCAAGGCTCGATATTATGAGCTCAAGCCAAGTCATTTGGTAGTCGCAGTGCTCTGGCTTCTATAGTACGCTGAATTGTAAAGTGTACATGGTTGGAGTCTTGCTATATTGAATTGAGTTCTGTTTTTCTCCCGGAATCAATATGCAGGACATTAAAGCAATCGGGGGTGGTCCTAAGTTTTTATGTCTATTGAATATCTTGTTTTGTCAATTGCATAGACGCTTGCTGTTCGCAGCACCTTTAGCTGAATCTAGAGAGCAAAGATTTTACTGCTTTTGTCTGTAATAATTGGGGGCCCTCTTTTGCCGACTCGTTTGTGCTGTGCAGCTGGAAGAAGTCAACAAGAAGATTGCGGCTACACAGTCAAAAGGAGGCTTCCGCTTCACCCTCGATAGCTTTCGACTGTCGGACGAGCAGCGGCGTTTCTACGAGGACAATGGCTTCATTATTATCCGCAATTTGGTTCCTTTGCGAGACCTCGAGGTCTACAGGTATGCCAATCAGCTTGAACAGATTTTGCTTTGTGATGTTTAAAGGTTGCGCCAAAATACCTGTAGCTAAATGTGGCACCGCTGTCTATGCTATTTTCCTAAGAGATGCTGTGCTGCTATGGGAATAGTAGTATATGTGTCTGCAAGGCTTTAGCCTAAAACGTGGAAATGGCTGCACAAATAAAGCTTCTCTGTAAGTTGACAAAAGCCTTGATAAATGGATCGCCATAGCATAACCAAATGGATGACAAACAGAATATGTTGAGGAGTGAATAATGAGGGGAGATGCGAGTCGATTTTTCATTATGATAGCAATTATATGGACACTCGTCCGAATATTGCCGCTGTATATGTATGAAAACACAAGAAAGAAAAATGACCAGAAAAAGACTCCGGTTAGTGGAATGAAACGTCCGACCTCTTGCTTGTAAGTGCGAAGCATTAGCCAATAAGCCACCAAGGAGCACCTCTTTCAATGTTGAAGCGGCAAGCTATTTATATTTACCACTTACCACTGGCGATGGCCATCTTGCAGGAACTGTCATGTTTTCAGCATTACCAGTAATATGGCGCAATGAGCACGCGTCGCCAAATTGTCACGACGTGGTGGTACAGTGTAGTAGAAGAGGGCAGTGGGCTCACTTCGCCGATCCTCTGACGCAGTTGGCGTCGCACAGGATAGGTAGCGCCACAGGATAGGTAGCGCCACAGGCAACTTCAACAGCAGCTTCACTTACAGAAGCTGCTGGCTGCGCGTGAGTTGCAACCCGCGGTTCTTTTATATTTAAAATAATCTTGCTTGTATTTTACTACTATCTGGCTATATTGAGAGTGTATGTTGCTCTCACTTTGTCTTTTTTCTATTTTCTTTTGCAATAGAATTTGCTGAAAATCAGCCTGGTGGCAGCCAACGCAACTCATGGCTTTCTTTTTTTTTTTTCATGCATCACAGTTAATGTTTTTTTTTTGTGCGCTTGAGTTGATTGCATTTTCACTATCTTTTTAGACCACATCGCATTTGCCCTCTATGGCACCTCGCAGAAAAGGACAATGTAGTGCCCCTCAAAACATGCGGTTTCATGCCGTGTAGACCTAACCTTTGTATCAATACTATGCCTAAATTTCGCCTTCAAGCTCGGAATTAGAAAATAGAGCACGCCCACTTCTTTGCCGAGCTTAAACATGCAGGTATGCTTACTGGGTTTGTGCCTTTGCTATGCTATAATGAAATATCGTAGCCTAATTATTTTTTCTCCACTTTGGTTGTTGCACAAAAGATAGTAGTTTCCTGGGGGCTATTACGAACCATCATTATTTTAATCATCATTTGCTAAGAGAGATGGGGGAGAGCGCTGCAATGGACCTTTGCCCTGCAAAGGGCAAAGGAAAGCCCTGCGAACACTTATGATTTTATGATTGCCTGTCTGAAGTTTCTGATCTCTCAATCAGTTTTTTTTACTAAGGTAGGCTCGCAGATCGAGAAGAATCCCGGCACAGCATCGCCGTGGTCTCCCACGATGTATGCACGCTTCTTTTCCATCGGTAATGTGCACATAGCACATGACACAGCTCGTGTACTGCGCTGTTGGATTCCACGGGCTTGCCCGCTCTGAAAAGTCCTTCTCGCATTCTCTGTGCCTGTTCGAGTTTTTCGGAATGCAAAATGACAGCTTTGATTTGCCCTTCACGTACATGTAGTCTGTTTGGCACTTTAATGCATGGCACGAGTTTATTGAAATGTTGCGGCGTGGGTAAGGCACAAAAAAAGGCTCACTAGTTTCATGCATGGTGCATGCGCGTCTGAACGCTGCTGAAAAAAAAAAAAAAGAAAAAAACTTGGTGCTACAGCCTCTAGCGCAATGAAACTTGGCTTGACAACTGCTGATCTGGAAGAGCTGGCCGGCTCTTCCAGCCTCAACACCCCTCCCAAGTTGTATTGATGACAAAGTCATGCGCCCCGCCCAGGTGTAGAGAGAAGCACGAATTGGTGACGTTTGCGGAGCCACTCAACCACATAGCCTCCGCCGGAAAGTGAGCCCACTGCTCTGATCTAGTGCACTGTAGAGGTGGTGCGCACTTTGATCTCCCACGCATACTTTGCCCCACGGAGAGCAGGGTGGTTCACACAAACGCGTGCGCGCTTTATCCCACGGTGGGGGGAATTGCATGCCTTGGGCTTTTGCCGTAATGATTTTGTTGTAGTTACCGGTGTACAAAGGTCACTGCACTCGCTGCACAATCACCGTTTGCGAAAAGGGAGTGCTTTTCAGACAGAGTGAAGTAAGAACTGAGATGCTGATTCGCGTTCATCTGTACCTGTGAGTGCATTTCGTTCATCATTTGTGCGTGAGCAACGCGAGGCACGTTTCTACCTGCTTGCCATTGTTCGTGTCACATTCTAATTTGTTGCCGTCACGTTCATTGCTTCATTTTTCGCTTTTATTTGCCTTCACAAGTTTCTAATTATTTGCTTTCACAAGATTTTAATTAAACTGGGAGTAGGTTAAAATCGCTTTTAAAGATCATAAAGTGGCCACCGAAAACTAAATAGAGCTCATTGTTTGCAGCTCCCCTGGAAATTGTCACCTGGCTGCTTGCCATTGCATTTCGCATGAGGAGTTCACTAAGCAAAATGCTCAAAATAAACAATTATTTCTAAGCTGTCATGGTAGAAGAAGCCATTTCAAAAAACATATCTTTGCCGCTTATATCAGCTTCGACTTATACCTTTAAAACGTGTTTTTGGGCAATGTCGTGATATTAGATATCATTTTCCTGGTACTTCTGATAGCCAGATCAGGATGAAATTTTTCCCAGCTATTCCTTAACATGTGAAGGGTGCAAGTATCTCCTTTAAAACTTGATATCACGTATAATTATTATGAAGGTGAAGGAAGCACTTGGTACAAGCTGAGGATTCTAAGAATTCTCACATTACTATTTTTATTGTCCATTAAAATGTCTCATATGCTGTTTCTTGATAGTTATGAGGAGAAATATAAACCATGGATGGCTCAGAACCATAGAAATTTACCGGTATAAAAGGTTTATTCGAAACGAACGATACTTTCTACATTGTCATTGCGCAAAATGAAAACTGTGCAATTTACTACAAACCTAATTACATATTTTAAATCAGCATACAAGCCTATATATTTTTCTATTTATTTACATAGTTCCTGCAACACCACAGTGGCATTACTACAGGGGGTTGTTCTATATATAAATTCAATTATGTAATGACATTTCTGTGATAGCACACAAAGTATAATAGAAGGTATAATTATAAAAATGCATAACAATTGCAATATGCTAACAAAATTTTGACGTAATATGGCGCACAGCAAGCAAATTCAAAAGGATGCAATTCACAACGATGAGAAGAAACCACCATTGTCCCTTTACTATATCTTCAGGGAAGTTCATTCCACTTGTTTTTAAGAAGCAGTTGGCAAAAGTAGTGGTTTTGAATGACTCTTCTTCTGTTTTATGTGAGTGTTGGCATCTCTTATGTTGGTGCTAGTAGGCATTTCTTCTTTTCACTTTCTCTTTGGTTATAAGTGAACCACGAATATTGTGTAGACAGTCATGGTATGTTTCTCGTGCACATTGTAAATGTCTCTTAGATATCCATGGAAATCCAAATTACGAAGATTAGATGTACCCGCAACTATGAAAAGCTTGGCCGAGTGAGGTTGCAGGTATGTTGCACATGGACACTAAATTGACATCGAATAGATATACATAGACATTGTCATATAGTAAATAAAAGCTATTTTCATACACTTCGCTCACTTACCGCATGCAGTTGGTGTTAGACCTGCGGTCCCATGGCAGTCTTGCTCATTGCCGCTCAGATTTACTTTATAGGAAGGATCAAAGGCGCAAGGCTGGCCGGATCGATTGATATGTGGGGTTTAACATCCCAAAACCACCACATGATTATGAGAGACGCCGTAGTGGAGTGCTCCAGAAATTTCGACCACCTGGGGTTCTTGAATGTGCATCCAAATCTGAGCACACGGGCCCACAGAATTTTCGCCTCCATTAAAAATGCAGCCGCCACAGCCAGGATTCGAACTCGCGACCTGCAGATCAGCGGCAGAGAGCCACTAGACCACCACAGTGTGATGAGGCTGGCCGAATTGCTGTCAGGCAACATATTTCAGGCCAGCCTCACGGTGTTGATGCTTTCTGTAAGTGTAGCACACCAGCTAAGAGCCAGGCTACAGTGGGAGTGCAGGTCTCTAGCACACAAAACTATACGTGCAGCAAGCCTGAAGGAAGTGCGGGGCTGGAAATAAGTCTGATTTGTTTGAATTGAATTGAATTGAATTTTATTGGTCACACTTTTTACAAAAAATTTTCATACGCTGCGTGGACCCATAGCCATAGGCTAGTTTGGGCTAGTTCTCTCGAGCTTGCTTTCCGCCTCTCTTTCTTTTTTCTTTTTCAGCTTTTTCTGTTTTTATTTTTGCCCTATTTTTCACCTATTTTCCTTGCCCTTACTGCTTTTCTTCCTATTTCTTCTTTTTTCATCTTTCTATTTATCACTTGCTTCACCTTTCCATTTTTTTATGTGGTTTTGCTTGCATTACGCCAAGCGACAAGAGCCCAGGCCCCAAAAGTTCTTCACACTTAAAAGCACCGTAGGGCTGCATGATTTCGCGCTATCATGTTTGGCAGCACTAACGGGACACCTGTTAATTTTATGGTCGTTCTCACGTTTTATCTCCTTGTGCATCTAAGTGTATGCATTATGCAAGCTCGATGAACATGTCTATTTGTGTTCGAGCCCTTTCTAGATTTTACATGCCAGTATATATTTATCATTCTAAACGTCAACTAAAGCACTTTTAGATGACAGAAAGGTCTGCAATGCATTTGATATTGTGAGCACGTATGTGCGACATCATTTGCTCCGTCTAGTTTTTGTCTAAGAGAGAAGTGCATACGACGTTAATACGTAGGCTCTCTAGACTGTAAGGATGGCACATTAT